TAGGCTACGTGAGTTCAAGTGAAGTGTGCACGAGTGCAGGTGATCGCGGTCATGGGCGACCGGCGGTGGTGCTCCGAGGCTCGCATGGCATCGTTGGTGTGCGTGTCCGCGCGTGTGGCCACATGGCAAGGCTGAGCGGCTACGGTGGCTTGCTGTCGACACCGCGAGGCCTGGAAGGTGCGGGGATGGCTTGGGTGAGCAGCTCGCGAACGTGCCCAGCGGTGCTTGACCAAAGAGCCTGAGGGCACGGACACTGTGGGCGCTCGGCTCGCTGTGACACTTCTTGGTGCATGAGCACTAGCGTGGCCAAGGTCGGGCTTTGAGTCTGTGTGTGCGTGCGTCCGAGCGGTGGCCATGGTCGCAAGTGTGGCAGCAAGGTCTGGGGTCACGAAGGTGTAGGGGTCGGCTAAGCTCACAATGGTGAGGCCGTGATGGCGGTGCCATGCCGTGGACATGAGGGTGAGGTGGTGTGTGCACGGGCGTGGTCATGGCCACGACGAGGTTCGCCGACAGCGTGGCACCGAGGCAAGGCAGGGCCTTGTCAGGCGATGGCAGTGGCTAGTGTGGGTGCCAACACGGTGTGCTAGCGACATGGGCAAGTGGTGTGCGGTGCTCCTGGCCGTGTGATGGCCATGGGCGACAAGGTCAGTGCGGCACGTCAGCCGGGCATGTAGACATGCCATCGAGGGGCCAAGAGGGTGGAGCTTGTCCAAGGATGAGCTCACCGGTGCATGGTCGTACCTTGGTCGTGCAGCACTGCGTGCAGGTTCTCATGCAACGGTGTGTCGACTGTTAAGGCGCGGAGGCCTATGTGTAGGTACTCGTGTCCGGTCTTGTGCGTGCTTGGCCGAGAGCTTGAAGGAGCTGGCAACGTGCGTGTGCATCCATGGGCGCGTGCACATGTTCACGAGTACTCGCGAGCAGACACCGGGACGGGGCTCATGCAGAAGCGCGCTGCTGCGGTCATGGGTGACCAGCGGCGGCGGCCCTGTGTCGCCGTGCATGACGTGCCCGTGCGAGTGTGCTATTCTCGTGTGTGATGGCGATTGGCCACGCGATGGCCGTCGGTGGCCTCCGGTGCGGCATCGTGACCCCTGCAAGAAGGCACGCCCGCACCAAGGCCGGGATAGGCATGGGTAGTCCACCAATGCGAAAAATAGGGGGCTTGGGCACTCGGAGTTCACCGGTGGGCTTGATGGAGGTAGGCCGCCTGGTGCAGGAAGGGCTCGGGGCGGGCAGATCGCGTCAAGGTGGTGGCGTTTCCGATCGTGGCCGCGATGTCGTGGTGTCAAGACGAGGCCATGCCTAGGCTCGTGGCAAGGTGGTGGCTGGGCTCGAGGTGAAGGCGTTCTAGGGTGGCTCGATGTTCCTCGGCGCAAGTTGCTGGAAGACGGCAGAAGCAACTTGCCGACGTCGAGGGCTGGGGCAGGTCAGGTGCGGGGTAACAGCGCTATCACGAGAAAGGAGGCGCCTTTGGCGAGGAAGGGCTCACCAGTGGTTTCACGGGGGCAAAGGCTATGATGTTGTTGCAGCCGCACGGACCTGTGCAAAACCATGGTAGGACGAGCAGGCGTGGGTGCGCTGTGGCTTGACAACGTGGCCGACGTCACGTGGCTTCTCGCCGTGCAGGAAGTCATGGTGTGGCTGTCCGGGCTTGGTGGACGGAGGTGGCGCCGGTGGCTCTTGGCTGCTGTTCAAGGCGACGCCGTCGTGGTCGGGGTGCAGGGCGAGGTCGAGGCCCAAGTTGGTGATGGTCCGACGCAAGGACATTCTGTGGCGGCCACGGTCTCCGAGGGCTCGGCGTCGCTATAGGTTTCAGAACTCGGCGCAAAGGCCGGTCAGGCATGGTCACTGAAAGGCGTCGAAAGGTGGGGTCTTGGGTTCAGGGAAGGCTCGCCGTCCGCTTGTGAAGGCCGTGATGGAGATGAGGTGGATGGCGGCTCGACGTGGTGTCGACACCGGGGCTTGACGCGGATCCGTGGCTGCGAGGTCTCCATGCGACATGGCTTGGCGAGGCCGTGGAGTTTCTGTGGTCGCGCGGCTCGATGACGCGTCCGGTGTTGCAGGCTTGATGGCGAGGTCGCTCGGTGATTGTGCTCACAGCGCGGTGGCAAAGAACGGCGGGGCTCGGTGCAGACCTAGAGCTCTGTGGCGGTGCCATGGCCCCAAGGCGTTCCGGCCATGGCATTCCGGTACTGGGAATGGAGGCAGAAAGGAGACGGGAAGAAGCGGCGGCGGCTGGAAGGAGCTCCAGAGCAAGGTGGCATCGGGGTCTTTATAGCGCGCTAGCTAGGGCTTCTAGGAGGTGTCGTCCATCCTCGACGTCCGTGCCAGGGAGAGGGACACGCGGCGCGAATCACGGGCACCTAGGCCAAGGGCGCGGTCGGGGCGCGGGTGCAGGGGCGCTGAGCGGCGGCGGCGCCTGGGAGCGTCTGCTCTCGTCTAGGGTTGGCAAGGGGCGCCTGGACGCAAGGCTGGGCCAAGGCACCGGTGGGCCGCGCGGCTTGCGAGCTGGGCCTGTGGGGTGCGAGACGGGCCGGCGGGGCAAGGAGATGGGGGGCTTGGTTGGGCTTCTGCAGCTTGCTGGGGCAGCTGGGCCTGTTTGGCCGTGCGCGCGCGAACGGGCCGAAGGGGAGGAGCCGGGCCAGGCTAGGTTGCTGCGCCAGTTGGGCCAGGAGAAGTGGTGACGGGTTGGGCCTCCAGCGCAAGTGGAAGAGGCCGGCTGGAAGGTGAGGTGGTCATGGGCCGAGGAGGCGAGCTGGGCCGACTCTGCTGCTTGGGCTGGTTTGGCCATTTCCTCTTTCTCCTTCCTGCTCTATTCCTTTCTATTTCTATTAAATAAACCAAGGGCTTCTATGTGGGGTCCAGTCAAGGGTTGGCAATTTACGGGTATTGAGTTGATAAAGATAGTTGGTTGACTATAGAAATTAGGTCAAGGGGTTTGATACTAAGGAGATGAATTGAGAGAGAGGTAGAAGGATTCATGAGAGATTCCAGAAGGAGTCAAAAGGATTTGCTACGGACTTGTGCTCTCCAACACAAAACCCTAAACCAAATAAGAAACTCCGGCAAGCTCCTACAAGCAACGCTATATGTATGCAACAATTTATTTATAAATTGTTCTTTGTTTGACCTAGCATCTACATGTTTCACACATTGCAGAAATTTTTTTAAAAAATTCGTATTTTTAGCTTCTCAAAAAACCCGGGTTGTTACAGACGGTCCCTTTAGCCCCCTCCTCTGCCAGGCCTGGCACCTTTGAGACCCTACTCAACGTACCTTAAAAACATTTGTGAGGTGGCCATATTCGGATGTCGCTTCAACTGTATACTACCTATACTGGAGTATACAAGAACCTACCCTGTATGGTGGAGTTATAACATATTTGTAGACTGCAACGGTAATATTGATCTAGTCGGGAAAAGACAAAACCTCTTTTCTAAAGAGTCATCGTTATCATATATGTAATTTTATTTGAAGGTATTTGTTATCATATATCGTATAAAACTTTTGTCGTATCTACCCTAAAACTTTCTTCACTTGAAATAGACGGCACATATGTCATTGTCTTGGAGATTCAGAAATATTGGAAATGATTCACCTTTTTATAGTCAAATAAACTTCTACGTGTCTATCAAAAGAAATTTCAATTTGAAGTACATGTACCCCAATAAGAATAAGAAGCTACATAAAAATTATATTCGGGCTCACATGATTTATTCAATCCCTTATCATGCAGATGGATAAAAATTAATTGTTTTATAGGGATAATTCGACATTCTATCTCTAGATTACCACAAAATAATTCCAACAATACCTATAAGTGGTCAGAAAAATCTAAAAAATAGCATGTAAGCATATTTTGAGTGTATATGCTTGCTATAAATTATTCAAATGATTTTAATTAAAGGGACCTATATATCGTTCATAAAATAAATACAACTCAAATAAAGTTTTACATAACTCAAGTCAAACTTTAAATTCTGCACACCTCATATCAATTTTGAACTCGTATGGACATCAAAGTTTAACACAAGCTTACATTTACCTAAATTTAAGCAAATATGAGGTTCCAAATTTTTTGAAAATTGACATAGTTTCATGTAATTCAAGTCAATTTTGAAATTTTAGTCTGCGTATTTATACCTAATATTAAAGAGCAAAAATTTTTGCTACTAAATTTTAACTTAGCTCAATCACCGAGTGACATTCGCTCCTTTTTTTTGAAAGAAGAGGAGGGATCAGAGGTTGATCCCTACTGGCTGATTTTCAGCTGCTGCTAATGCTGATGCTGATTTGTTGTGAGAGAAAAATACTGTTACATGGTTGAAAAATAGTGCTGATTTTGACTGATAAGCTCAAACGAAAAAGACGTAAAACACAAAGGAGTACAGCAAAACAAGAACAGCTAACCAGTACAGCAAAAACAAACGCCACTTCAGGAGACAAAAAAGGAAAGAAAGAAGATAAGAAAGATTACACAAGCTGTCTGGCCATGACACACACAGTGACATTCGCTCCTTGTTTTCCTTTGGCCCTCCGTCCAAACCTTCAGTTTCTTTTTCTTTCTGGACACATCTTTTATGCCGTTTTTTGAACATGTTTTTTTTTATTTTTTTTGGAGAAGTATCTCCATTTATTAATATAATAAAGATAATAAAAATAAATATTAAATAATTATGGGTCTTTGAAAGCACTCCGTTTCCTCCGTCGCGATGGTTTTTCCGCGTCGCACGCGCCCCAGGCTCCAACGTCTGTCCCAACGTCCTGGAGGCCCACGCTCCGGCGGCCCACACCTCGGCGCCTCGGCCGCATTGAAGGGGTGTTTCGGGGACAACCTGCACGCACCATCGGAGGAGCTGAGCGAAGCTGCTTTTTTTAGCTCCTCCATTCTCTTTCGGCTCCAGAGTCCAGACAGCGCAAATCGCCGGAGAAGTGGACGCCCGCGCACCCGGGAGTCGCTCGAGAAGCGCTACCAAACGGGCACGAAGTTGGGCTGGATGGGTGGCCCTTCCTCTCCCCGTCGGGAGAATGACGGCGAGGGGAGCGGCCGGAGATCTCCTGCTCCGGCGACAGAGAAGGAGCGCCCGAGGTCCTTCGACGAGAAGACCCGGACGGCGTGCTGGCGTAAGGCAGCGGTGCTGGTGGGGCGGCACCCGGAACGCTGGCGGCTGGACGCCGTGGGCAACGTGGTCTGCCGCCGCTTCTGGGGCTGCCACGGATGCCTCTGCTACGAGTACGACCACATCGTCCCTTTCTCCAGAGGTGTGCCTCCTCCCTCCGCCCCCGCCCCCGCAGGCTCTGCTGACAAATCCTCCAGGCCCTGGAGTCCAGGGTGTCCTATGCAGGGAAGGATTAAGTGGATTTCTCCCATATTACTCAATCCCTTTGGGGGTTTAGTCCCCTCCCTCCCTAATCCCTCTTTTGAAACCCTGTGTTCGATTATTGTAGGGATTGAAACCATGTGAGTGCTCCACATGCTTAAACATGTAACATATCTCTATAGCTCTCCAGATGCAACATGGATGACGAAGCCCTTGGCTAGACTGCTGGAGGCTCAGTTTCTTGCGCAGTAGCTAAATTGAGCAATGGCGAGTGTGATAACGTTTGGGCAGGAGATGCTCTAAAGATGCCTCAACAAGCAGGAAATGACTTGACTTCCACTTTCTCTGAACCAATGCCGATAGTATCTTTCTCCTTGGACCCTGCAAGACCAAGATGCAAATGAAAAAAATGATGAGGCAAAACTACAATAGTACAATAAACCAAAGTAGATTGCAATGAAAAAAATGTGAGGCAATGCTACAATTATAGGCGATGTATTTACATAAGGTTTGATCAACATTTCATCATCTCAGATCCATTTGTGTCATATTAGGTCAGTTGTTTAGGCATACACACTCTCCATTGAAGCAATCCACACTTCCACAGCGAGCGTAGTAACATAAATGCTGCTACGTATGTGAGTCCATCTTGTCTGGTTGCTTTTTGCTGAGAATTTGAGCTCTTCTCACTAATTTTTTCTACTGTTACTATTACCTTGTTCATTAAAACATTAATTCTCTCAGCAGGACATACATGCATTTTGTTGGCAGTAGATTAGCTTGCAATTGTCAGTTGCACAACTTGGTCGCATTATACTCAAGTCTATCACATCAATTGTCAGTTTTGCACAACTTGGTCGCATTATACTCAAATCTATCACATATAGAATGGTACATTTCTGAAGTGGATTTGTGAATAGATGCATATCTAGTTTTGCATTTTGTTATTATTATTGAATTTCAGACACCAACCTTTTCACCTAAAGGTGAAGCAGATAAAAAAAATTTGAATATAATTCAGGAGCCACCCTGTCTAGGCTCCCTGGACATTATCTGATGGACATGGAATAGAAGTGGCCCTACAATTGCTCTTCACTAAATTGTGTGAGCCCGGTCTCAGACTTAGGGTGCGTTTGGTAGGGATTGTCCGGATTCTCGTAGAAACGTTTCGAATCTAGACTCTTGTAGAAACATTTCGAATTTAGATTCTCTCAAGAAACGTTTCTGGCACTTCGTGAAACTGTTTGCCTGGTAGGCTGGATTTTGATTCACAAGAAAAAAAGTTTTTTCCTTAAAAATCATATAAATGAAAATGGTCTTCAAAAGATTCAGAATTTTTTGTGGGCGAAGAACAACTTAAATACAACTTTAAAAAAATCATGCGAAACCAGCTAACTGCCGTTTCTCCTTGCTAAGCATAAAAACGAGAAATGTTTCTAGTGATTCTCGAGTGAAACATTCTCACCTGACCTATATTTCTGGTTGCCAAATGAGGACTTAGGACCTTTCGATTTTTTTACTTTTATGAGATTCATGCATTCAAATACAAAGCTGGTTAGGAAAGAACAAAGGCTGACAATATATTGGTACGATTATATCCTTGTCCTGTCATTTTTACTCAACAAGTTGGCATTTACTCATCCTTGATTAATAATGGATATGCCTATCAGTTTATAGGGATGGATCCATAAGAAATCATTTTTAAATTGAAGGAAATTTATCCCAGATACATGTATTGCACCTTTAGGGAAATAAGCCCGCTTAACTACTAAATAGCTATTTTTATGTATAATTTCCATCTAATATTTTGTGGATGGTCTCACATGAATACTGCTCAGCACCTTACTGCTGCAGCATCATCAAACAGTGACCAGCATTGTGGTTTGATAATTTGTTTTAGGAGGAGAATCCACTGTTGAGAACTGTCAGATCCTCCAGACTAGGGTGAACCGTTCCAAATCTGATAAAGCATGGGTAGAGCAAGCAGAGATGCGGGGTTTTTCCTGTGATATTAAGTTTACTGGTGAGTGAATGTTTTTTTTTTTTTGTTTCAATTGGTCTTGAAATATTGGTTTGCTATTGAGCACGACTAGAAACAACAGCAATTTGAATACTAGCATTAGCATATCTTCCTCTCAGCAACAAATGCATATTAATTTATAATTATGTTTTACATTTAAATCTGTCGATGGCCAAGAAATATATGGCATATAGTTTAGACATGGCACTATGGTAGAAGAAAACATTATAATAGAGGCAGGGTAGAAACATTTAATTCAAATATTCAATATTTGAAAATATGTTAGCCGTGCTAAATGGTAGTATTTCTGTTTAAGTTCACATGATGGCATGATGCCTGATTTTTTTCTTTACCTGGAACTACAGCAGCTTCATTGTAACGAATAAGGGATCTCATTACTGATTAGGTTATTTAGAATATTTAAAGGAAATTGTCACATGATATACATATATAACCATGCACAGCTTTGTTTGTTTACCTGATAGTTAATCTATGTGTGTAGTTGTCCACTTCTTTTTGGGCCTTATCATGTCTTTCATATTCATTATCTCATTCTTGGGTGCGACTTTGAGAGAAGGCGATTAGTGTGTGTACCCAAGTTGAATGTCATAACTTAATTCGTTTTTCTATTTCAGTGCCATTAGTACTTTCCATTTGATCTTAAATGTCAATGATTAGGATCTTGGTTATGCTTCATTGTGGCCAAAAGCATGCTGATGCATGGCTGCTGCAGTTGGTGTGGGGGACAGCGGCGGCAGCTAGGGCAGGGGCAAGCGCGGGCGCAGGGAGGGGAGAGGCGCAGGAAGAGGAGGTAGGTAGGGGAGAGAAAATGCTCTATTTCTGCTTAGGATTGAAACGGTTACATTGGCCCCTATATTTATAGTCCCTAGAGGACTTGGATCTTAAGCAAACTAGAGGAGTCCTTATAGATTTGGACTCTCCTTTCCAATCTTATCTTGTTTCCTAAACAAACTCTATTTCTATTTATTCCAAATCTCCTTTTAATTCCCATCTATTTTGGACTCATCTGGGTAGGGAGGGATCGGCTGCGCGGTGGATGCCGCCTCTCCCTGGTCCTGGCAGCGTGGTTGGCCAGGGTGCGGCCGACTAGGGCCTCCTCCTGGCCTCGCTTGGCCTGGCTGGGTGGCCTATATTTAGGCCCGTGACAGATAGGAATCTTTTTTCTAAAGTTTGTGTGCCAGCATCTGCTCCACTGACCGGAACAAATTCATTGGTCCAACAGATTGGATCATTGGACTGATCTCAACTCCTTATTTAGTCTTTAACTGTTATATACCTTAATTGGGCACTCAATCCAAAACTTAAATTTATGTGTGAAGTGTTCTTGTCTATTCAGTCTGATTTATAATTGTATTATTACTCAATCTCTGAACAGATCAGGAGCTAGATATAATTGAGATGGCTGTCTATGGGGATGTCATTCGTCCAGGGAAGCAATGCCGCTGCAGAACAGTAGCCGAGATGCTCGGGCAGGTGAAGTCAATGAATCGCATGGCTGCTTGTGAGTTACCAGACAAAGGTGCCTCTTAAATTGTTCGAATAAATTGGTTTCGACTCTCACCTGTCAGAACACAACCTTTAGAGTGCAGTTGATTCCATTCAACAGGGAAACTCTGAGTTCTTTCTCATAATAAGTAATTCTGTGAAACGAATGCAGTTGGTTTGCAGCCTGTGCTCATGATATCTGCTCTTGAACATTCTGTTGAAATTTTTGGTCTCAGCTTTTTGTTGGGCCCCAGATGACAATGGAATTTCGACTTTTTACATATTGATTGATGGCAACGTTATCAATGGATTGGTTGATTTCAATAATTGGGCTTGAAAATAGCAATTTTGGGTGGTTCAATTCTCTTTATGACTGGTTAGCTTCAGTTGGTTGGACCTGTTTAGCAATGTTACTGTAGGGACGTGAGCTGCAACAGCCTTTCCCGAACTGGTATAGAAATTAGAAACTGAAGTTTAAATGTTGTGTGGTGACCTGTAGTCTACTAGATATGATAACTTTGGGCCTCTACACAACCATGATTCCTACCTCACCTTAGAAGTTGAAAGAGGCAATTCCTTAGGAGTCACTGAAAAAGTTCTCAATTTCCATATATACCACAAAAAAGTTGTAATCCTACATGAATCACTACAATTTTTTCGTTCCTATGATGTGCTACTTCCGTCTATACACCATGATTCCGTGAATGTGCTGTTATGTGTCGTGGCCTGTGGGAAAACACTATTTTACCCTCTCCAAATCCCTCATCCCCTTTGTCTTTCATCTTTCTCTCGTCTGACGGTGAACTGACCTGGAAGCAACACTGCTGGCTGCTGCTCGTGTGTCAAGACACGGGCTTCTGGGCCAATTGGATTGGATGGTTGGCACCTTCACGGTCTTGGTGGGCGCTATGGTGAGTTTACCGACATGCCCTTCATCCCACGGCCACACGGCATGCCTGCCATGGGTTGCGCCATGGGCTTCGGGGCATTTCTCTTTTGCGCCGAGAGATGGATGGAACGATGGTGCGGCATGGAGATGGAATTCTAGGCGCTGTGGGCGCTATGGCACATGCACGAGTCCTATCACCGGCCCGGCGATGGGCCCTTCGAGCTCAAATACGTCTTCGCCTCGCCATATCTCAAGTTGAAGATGCTGGGGCCGAATGGAATCATAACCGTCGTCACTAGCTTGTAGCAGGTCTACCTCTGCAAATGAGAGCGTGTGGCCCACGTGGCCACGACCATCCCTTCCGTCGACCTCATCGATGCTGGACAATGATAAGAGGATGAGGTCCTAGACATGAAGAAGAAGACATCAACGTCTTTGTTGGGGCGAGATGCCGGGTGTGTGTGTGGGGTGGGGGGTGGGGGGGGGGGGGATAATCATTTCTAAATCCTAATTGCTATGACTAACCAATCAAAGCAGTGGAATGAAACTAATCGATCTAGCATCGACTACACCCCTCTATCTATAAAAGATCCTACATAAGATTTATGCCAAGGTGTAGAGCTAGTGGCTAGGGAGCTCTCTCCTACACAATTCTTGTTAGCAAGATCACACAAACTAACAAGTATACAAACAAGTAATGCAAGCTAGTGTAGGGATTGCAAACAGATCAAGAAGACAAATTGACACGGTGATTTTTGTCATAAGGTTTAATGGTTTGCCAACCACTTAATCCCTGTTGAGGCAAGCCCAAAATTGGCGCCGATCCTCATGATAGTGGTAAGACCGGCCTCAAGATTACACTCATCTCTCGAGGTGTGCTCCCAATGTGAGCTCTAGCACTTGATCCGGCCAGACCACTTAGCGTTCTTCGCACCTCACTCTACTAGTAATTGCTCTTTGTAATGTCCTATGGGGCGAGCAGAACACCCCTCACAATGTGATCTCACTCTGGAGCTCCGCACAATCTCCACGTGTGCTACGAGTGAGTCCATAAGCCACCAAGCCGTCTAGGAGGTGGCAACCTTCAAGAGTAACAAGCCCTCAAGCTTGCTAACTAGCCCCTAGTTCCCCTAGATGCTATCTCTCTCAAGGATATGCACTAGATCACTCTAATCTTACTTTGATTCGCAATCAACTAAGCACAAGTGAGTGGAGGGCTTCTCTTTGGCTCTAATAGATGGGGGCTACTCCCTTGGGCACCAGCGACTCCAACTCAACGGGCCTCCCCTTCTATTTATAGCCCACAAGATAAAACAAGTTGTTGGGAGGAATCTACAGCTTCTTCGGGGGCACCGCTGGATAAAGCACTAGAAAATCCCACAGACCGATCCAGGTCAAATTCAACGGTCACAGAAATCCAATGACTGTCTCTTCTTTCTGGTTAGCTAGTCTCCTAGACCGTCTTTTTCGGTTGAAGGGACCATGACACCTAAGAGGGAGGATTTGAATTAGAAAACTTAAAAGCTACTTCTAAAACTATGGCCTCTAATTTCCACCTAGTCAAAACATATGTAATAATTAATCTATCTAGATATACAACTAAGGTTTTGCTAGGTGTATTGCTATTTTACTACAAAAAGTAATACAACCTAGGTTTCAATTCTATCAACTAGCCTATCAAACTAAGCTTGGAAGGTTTGGAAGGTAAAGCATACAACCTAAGTACACAATATAAATGTGGAACTTAAAGGGTGGTAGAGATGCAAACTCTCGTCGACGACTCTAATATTTTTATCGAGGTATTGAGAAGCTCCTCACTTCCCTCTAATCCTCGTTGAAGCCCCTCGCAAGAATGCCCTCGTAAGAGCTAAGCTTTCAGTCAGATAACTCTGCGGAGGCTATCCCCACGCGCAAGTGGGTTTCCGAGAATTTTTTCTATTCCTGTTCTCCTTGCTGCAAGACTAATCAGTCCAAAAAGGAGTACGTCTGTGGTGCTATTTGTTTTTTTATTCATTTTCTCCCTGCTGCAAGACTAATCCAACTATTACTTCATGTATTCCGTTTTTTCTTGTCTATATGCGATTCCACATAGGAGTTCGTCGCTATTTTTTTCATATTCCTTTTTTCGGTAATGTTGTACGTCCGTCCGTTTGGACGTTCTCATTGATGGGCCATGACACCAGCCCAACAACCCAACACTCGTCACTTGCGTATGGCTCATCCACCGCCTCCAACCATATCCCCTCGTGAGCCCATCGTTTGTTCCTCTCCATTCACCGCACCTTCGTGTTTGCACCACCGCGGCGTGCTCCAGCGCGACCACGCCGCCGCGGCGCTCTCCACCACGCCCGAACGGTCGCTGTCCTCTCTCTCCACCACGCTCCAGCGCCACCGCCGCAATCCTTCCTCTCCACCGGGCCATCCGCTCGTCGCGGTGTTCTCCACCGCGATGGCTGCCTTCTCCACCGGAGCTGCGCGTCACTCCGTGCCGGTGTCGAGCTCCGCGTCGATGAGCCTCCATTCGTCCAATGTAGCAAGTAGACGTTGCGTTGAAAGCACATGTTGCAAGCGTTTCGTATGGATGTTGGAAAAGTATATTGGAATGTTGCAATGGTTGTACACGTATGTTGTATACGTCTGTTCTCAATGTTTCATCTGTTTTTAGATGTATGTTGTAAGTGTGTTTATCTGGATGTTGCGTATGTTTCACACATATGTTGCAAGTGTTTTATCTTGATTTTGTGTATATTTGCAATGACTTTCAAGTGTTTTCAGGTGTTTTTGTGAGTGTTTCAGACGTATGTTGCAAGCGTTGCATTTGAATGTATTAAAAGTAAATATGATGTTGCACATGTTGTAATGTGACCCGCCTGATGTAGTTGCTAGAGGGGGCGTGAGGGGTCATGCGGGGCGCAAACGCCATGTGGGGTCGGGCGGGGGCGTAGACGCCGTGTGGGGTTGGGTGGGGCATAGACACCACATGGGGTTGGGCGATATGCAGAGTGCATGCGTGGGAACAGGGGTGCAAATGTGGGCGTCTAGACGTAGACATCCGGGCACTGGCACTGCAGGCGTCGATCCGACTTTTAAACTTCTTTATTATTATGTCCACTGCTTCAGTTTTTTTCTTCACTCCCATCGCTCCGTTATGTCCGCTGCTTAATAAATAATTATTTTCACCACTAAGTTGTTAGGAATAGAACTTATTTTTATTAGAATCTATATAGGTCGACAGTCAGTAAACTGAAAATCTTTTTTCGTTTGTTATTCAATCTAATCTAAATAAATGTAACTTCAAGTTGTATGTACAAATCAGTGTAACTCTCAACAAGTTCTGCCATATGGAAAATCGAAAGACTCTGTCATAATCATCAACATGTAAACTAATTCTTGACACGATGACATCTAACCATTGACGACTATAATGAAAAATTAGAATTACATATTTTTAAAGGTCATCAAAGGAGGTCACAGCACTCAATATTTAACTCTACTAGTGCATGCATATTACGCTATTACAAAAATGATTTGTAGTGTTGGGGACTTAACTCCGCCAAGAAAACACAGCCCATGAAATTTTAGAGTTAAAATTGTGATTTCTATAACAAAGTTTACTTGCAGGAAAAAGAAACAAAGCGAAGATGGAAATTTGACTTCGTCAGAAAGATTTCATCTTCGCTGAAGAGACCTCATCTTTGCTAAAGAAAAGAAGAAAAGAAGATTGGGCGAAGACAAGGATTTAACTTCGCCTAACATTTTGAAGACAACGAAAATCGACTAAGTCCAAAAAGACAAAGACATAAAAAAGATTGATGACCAAAAGTTAACGAATGAAGGCTTAGAAAGAGAAAACGACCATTTCATCCTTATAGTTGAAAATGGTTGTAATTATTTGAATCAGGGGTAAAATGGTTATTTTATGTAAAATACGAAGACTAGGACCCTTATACATGTACAGTACAATCACGAAATGAATACAACTTTGTCTTATGTTCAGATTTTGATGCTTGTATGATTATTTTACCCAACATGTAGCAACGCCTCTTTTTTTTTTAGGGCGGCTCTATATTGAGCCGCCTCTATAAATGGTTCTCAAACGAGCTGCCCCTAAATATCTATTTATAGGGGTAATTTGAATATCCAGACGCCCTTACAAATAGACGTCGAATAGTAAAAATTAAGTACTAAAATTTGAATTTTTCAAACGATGAGAAATAACAAAAGTAAAAGTTGTAGATCTAGAAAAGAGATCTCGAAAAGTTATATAACTTTGATGTTTACAACTTTTCCATTTAAAATCATTTGCTCTTTCAAAATGCTACTCAAAATTTAATTTTTAAATTATCGAAGAACTCTAATTTCTCTTTTTAATCTCTGGCAAAAACTTGTAACTAGTCTTTCTTCCTCGTACTAACTTCAAATTTGATGATTTTTTTTCTAAAATTTTCTAAAATCATGCTCTATCAATTTATTATGTTCTTACAGCTATTATTTTGGTCATCGCTTCATGTGACTGTGTTTTATCAATTGAAAATTTAAATTAAAAAAATGGCAACTTCAAACAATATTATGAAACAGTAAATGATTTTAGCTGAAAAAGTCATGAACATAAAAGTTGTAGAACTGATCTAGATCTATAACTTTTATTTTAGTCATTTGTTCATCCGACAAAGTGGTAGTAACGAGATTACTCATTACTACCATTTTGTCGGATGAACAAATGACCAAAATAAAAGTTGTAGATCTAAAAAAGTTATAGAACTTTGTAGTTGACAACTTTTTCATTCGAAATCATTTTTTTTAAGGAAAACTATATTTGAATTTCTCAAATTTGAAATTTGAACTTTTCAAACGATCTCGGATGGAGAAACAATCAAAATGAAAGTTGTAGATCTCCAGAAGTTATACAACTTTGTAGTTGACAATTTTTTAATTTGAAATCATTTTGTCAAGCAAAACTATGTTTGAATTTCTCAAATTTGAAATTCGAATTATTTAAACGAATTAAAAAAATTGCTATTTTTCAACTAGATTTGAGAATTTTTCGAAACGAATTTATAGGGGCGGCTCTATATCCAGCTGATCCTACAAATCATCAGCCGCCCCTACAATTTCGATTTGTAGGGGCGGCTGGCCAACCGCCCCTACAAATCGGTCATTTATAACAACAGTTTGGTAGGGGCGGCCGGTCAAACCACCCCTACAAATCCGTTTGAGCCGCCCCTACTAATCTTAGTGTTATAAAAACTAAAGTTATGATATAGTAAGAGAAAATATTTTTGTGCCTTACAACGAAAGAATAAAAATTGTAAGTCATCGTGGCTTTTTATGATATATAGCTTTTACTATATATCTAGACATAATGTATATTTAGATGCGTAGCAAAAACTATATATCTAGAAAACCAGAACTACATACAATTTAGGATGGAGAAAGAATTTTAATTCGTTACAAACTTAATAGGACATTGTCGTATTATTACCAATACTAACTTATATTATGTATGTATGTATGTCATGGTTGTCATAAAATAAATTATAGCCTTTAAAAATTTATAAAAGGATAAAGTATAAATGGATATATAACATTTATATCCTTAATTTCTATTAACTTCTAATATCTTTTTTTCTCCCTTTACAAACGCGCGAGTAGTAACACACATGCACCAAACTGCACTGCACCCTCATGAAAGGAAACTTTTATTCGACCGCTCCATTTTTCAGCGGAAGTATATCAAACTACCTGTATGTAGAAAAAATTACTAGAGGTCAGCGAGACGCCATTTCCATACTGCACGCCCATCCAACTCGATGCGTGTGTGAATTCAGGCGTCAGTCCAGGTGACGTGGACCTCGCCAACGTCAGTATCGAGCCCGAGCTTCTTCCAGACAGCGGGATAAATTCAAGCGAACAGGCCGGCCGCGGTGGGAGTCGCACTCGTCCACGACCTGTGCCTCCACGGAGCGCCTGGTGTCCGCGCTCGTGATGCGGATCTTCTTGTGACACCTCTTCCCGCCCGCGTACCACCTCGTGGACAGCGCCAGGTCGTCGTCGCTGTGGCACTTGCCGTCGCACTCCGACGGGCCTCCGCTACCGTATCCTCTCGGTAATTCCTACGCATGCAAGAACAACTGATGAGCAAGCCGCTGTTTTGTTTTGGAAGCTGATGCTGGAAATTAACGCTCCAGATGTTTCGTAAGACGTTTGCTTAGCTTCATCATTCTGTTGGGTTGATTTCAGGAAATGATCACATGACCGAGTCCGTGGGAAACCCCACGTATGCGACTTGATCGGAGTAGTTCTAACACATTCCACTAGCTGATCAACCGAACCAATCGCATACTTCACGTGCAAAACCTATGCCACCTCTCCAAAATATAGGATACGAGTTTGATACTTTGATTCCCTATACATATAATAAAGTGCTAACGTCCTTGCTGTCACTTGGTGGTGATTTTGATTCGGGACCATATACATATAATGTTTAGATTGAAGTCAACCCGATGAATAGTAACTTTCGTCGTTGGTAAATATTGTCTAATCGTGCTGTCAAGATTCAGGATTTTCAACTAAACTGGTAATTAGACTTAGTCCGACCTCCTTCGGGAAAAACTTGGAACCATGTAAACTAAACAAGGCCATAGTAGTACGAGGCAAAAATGAGTTTAATTTCCGTGCCAGACTGCCAGAACGAGAGAAGTGCTACTCAAATTTGACCTGGCCCTGCTACTCTAGAGTCAGAAGAGATTTGCATGGAAGTTCAGAATTCAAACAGGAAGACATTTGGCGTGTTTGGGCGTAGAAATGTTTTGCATGTGCTGATAAGCTGCGGCGGCACCACATATTTGGAAATGAAGCAAACGCTGGACAGAAGTGAGGAGTCCGAGGTGCGGTGGGCTTTGGCGGTGTCCAGCGATGAACCAAACAGGCCCTAATAATTCTTGACACGACGACAACTAACCATCGCCGACTTTAATGAAAGATTAGACTTACATATTTTTAAAGGTCATGAAATTAAAGGAAGTCACAAAACTCGATATTTAACTCTACCAATGCATGGATATTATAAAAACTAAAGTTACGATATATTAGGAGAAAATACTTTTATACCTTACAACGAAAGAAAAAAATATATTAAGATTGTACTCTCTCTATTCCAAATTGTAAGTCGTTGTGACTTTTCATGATAAATAGTTTTTACTATGTATCTAGACAAATGTAGATGCGTAGCAAAAACTGTGTAGAAAAACCAGAACTACGTACAATTTAGGATGGAGAAAGTATTTTAATTCGTTACAAATTTAATAGGACATTGTCATATTATTACCAATATTAAATTATATTATGTATGTCATGGTAATCATAAAATAAATTATAGCCTTTAAAATTTTATAAAATGATAATACATAAATAGATCTATAACATTTTTATCCTTAATTGCTATTAACGTCTAATAGCTTTTTTTCCTCCCATTAGCGGAGGTCCAGTCCAGGTGGACCGTGAGCTGGCGTTAGTAACACACATACACCAAACAACAGTTTGTTTTGCACCCTCATAAAAAGAAACTTTTATTCTACCTCTCCACTTTTAAGCGGACAATATATCAAATTACCTGGTCAGCACGCCGCCATTTCCATACTGCGCATCGCCGCACGTCCATCCAACTCGGTGCGTGACGTGTGAATTCAGGCGTCGGACCAGGTGACGGGGACCTCGCCGACCTTAGTATCGAGCCCGAGCTTCTTCCAGACGGCGGGAGAGGAATCCACGATGTTGTTCTTGCAGCCGCGGTTGGAGTCGCACTCGTCCACGACCGTGGCCTCCACGGTTTTCCCGGTGTCCTTGCTCGTGATGCGGATCTTATTCTGGCACCTCTTCCCTCCCTCGTACCACCGCGAGGACAGCGCCACGATCAGGTCGTCGTCGTCGTGGTACTTGCCGTCGCACTCCGACGGGCCTCCACCGGTCCCACCCTTCTCGAACCCGTTCACCGTCATCACAGCAGAGGTGCCGCCGCTGCCGCCATCGGGCTTGTGCTTCTTCCGGGCTGTGGCGCATGAGACCTGAAGCAGAGCAAGGATGACGATGACTACCGCAATCTTAGCCTTCGCCATCGCTATTTATTTATTGCTAATGAGCTCGGTCGAGGTGCTTGGGATGCACTGTCCCTTGGCTCGTGAGGCGTATATATAGGCGTGCTCTCACTTCTTAGATCGTTGATCTCGATACCAGGTTAAATGGCTCTATCTGAAACAAGTGCGCTGTATCCGGAATGCTAGCTATCTGTATGTGATGGCATGTGTCAGGCTGTCACCTCGCTGCGATGTTACCATATCTTCTCGGTAATTCCTATGGACGGAGCCAGGATTTAGATATAGGGGAGCCGGGTCATCGACTATCCACAAAAAATATATGGTACCACTATCAAATCTTGATGCCAGTTTAAAAATTATCATTTTGATGCTGGCTTAATAAAATTATAATAAATCGTCTTTAGAGCATGTCTAGAAGTTATAAAAAAACAACTCCCATTTAGATTTTTTAGAAAAAGAAAGAAATGTGCCCTCCAACAGTTCGGCAAAAGGGCTCCATAAAAATAAAAAAGTTGCTAAATATCCTCTCGAACTCGTAAGTTTCTATAGTCAAGAGAAACTTCGTATTCGCTCTCTGTCCGACATTTTTCTCGGGAGATCGACGTAAATTGGAAGCATGAGTAAATTAAAATATAGGATTTCATATGAGAAAGTGGTAAGAGATAGAAACTATTAAAAAAGGGTTTGGTTCCTTAAAAATAGTTTGGGATTCCCATGCAAAATCGTTTAGAAGTTATTATAGGAGACTGTTGGAGAAAGACAAAATTTAAGGTTGCTATTTTCTTTTGTTAATTAACTTGCTACATCTATTAGTTTTGCAAGTAAACTATACCAAATTCATAGAGATGCTCTTAATCGTTTTATTTAGAAAAATACTAAATCTCTAAACTGAAAATAAAAAGGTTGTTCATAGGTCAACGATACACCTCATATTTACTATATTTATACACTTAACATTAGACAATTGAGAGATTTATTTGAAAAAATATTTTAGAATTGACTAAGAAGGCTTGTTTATTTAATTTCTAGTGATCAGTAAGAACTAATGAGTGGTACTAATGAAAATTGTGCATCGTTAGGGGGGGAGGGGCGGCGGGGGCGGGGGCGCCCCTGGTAATTCCTACGCATGCAAGAACAACTGATGAGCAAGCCGCTGTTTTGTTTTGGAAGCTGATGCTGCAAATTAACGCTCCAGATGTTTCGGTGGACGTTTGCTTAGCTTCGTTATTCTGTTGGGTTGATCTCAGGAAACGATCGTATGACTGAGTCTGCGCGACTTGATCGGAGTAATTCTAACACATCCCACTAGCTTATCAACCGAACCAATCGCATACTTCACGTGCAAAACCAATGCCACCTCTCCAAAATAGGATACGAGTTTAATACTTTGATTCCCTATATATATGTAATGAAGGGCTAACATCCTTGCTGTCACTGTCAGGTGGTGATTAGACTTAGTCCGTCCTCCTTCGGAAAAGTTCGGGGACCATGCATGCATATAGTATGAGGCAAAAAATGAGTTTAATTTCCGTGGCAGACTGCCAGAACGAGAGAGTGCTACTCAAATTTGACCTGGACCTGCTACTCTTGGAAGTTCAGAATTCTAACTATTACCAATCTAGAGTATATGATTCCATTCGAGGTGTAATATGATTGTATATATAACACTGGGTAATTATATCTCATTTATTAAAGCACCTTGTACATTTTTTTATGGTAGCAGCCAAAATTTTATCGCACTCTGCATATCTTCCAAGGCACTACATGACATAACACAGTCCAGCACATTAGAAACATAATAAAGGCCAAAACGCAACTAGTGTACACACAGTAGATATTCGTCGATCCATTCAGCTTTTTTTTTTTTTTTGCGACTAATCCATTCATCTAATTGTGACAGTAAAATCTGGCCGGCTGTCCGGAGCAAAAAAAATCTGGCTGGCTGTGGAAAGATAACAGAATTAGACCAAGGACATGCCCGAGTTTGTTTTCCTATGCAGATTAACCTTTTCACTGTCGTCTTTAGAAAGAGTTTTAGCTACTTATAAAGGAATTTTTAATTTAACTAGATGATTCCACGCACGTTGCTGCTGGAATTTTATAGTGGTATATAGGAGCATAATTTATGGAGCAAAAAATCATGAAATAATGAGAGTTTTTAATATATGCGGTTAGTATAATGAAAATAGTGGGAAAGTATTCAGCACAACTCTATATAACGCACAACTCTGGCCGCCTATAGTCTTTTCTTTTATTATTGAAAGCATCTCCGAGGCCAAGCACGCCCTAGTTGAGATGGGCTTAGGAAAAGAAGTTGCAACTTATTTAATCCTATTAATACTAGATTACATCCTCACCCCTTTAAGAGATCGTGTGACTAGTGCGGCGTGTGCCATCTTTTGTGACCACGACCCGGATCCACACCACCATGCAGACCATCGACTCATGCTCACAAGAATTAAGTTATGTCGTGAAATGGTAATGACAATTGATTGAACGGCAATCATGGTTGCCATACCCTCACGATGGAAATCGCGATTTCCATCGCCCCAAAGCCAAGCACGCTTTTTCAAAGGATGGTATGACTATTAAGGTTAATGATGAACTAGCTCTTTCTATTATTGAAAGCATCTAGCCCCCTAGTTGTTTGGTATTTGAAGAGACACGTGTGTTTAGAGAGTTTAAGTTATGTCATGGTAATGACAATTGATTCATGGTTTTCCTTACGATGGAAATCGCTTTGGTTTTCAAAGGATGGACGACAAGGTTAATGATGAACTAGTTCTAAGTGTCGTTTGGATAAGGACTAGAGTAGTTTAGATTTTGTTTTTCCTTTGTGAGTCTAAGGGGATATGGGTAATAGCTTGACCTATGTGAGTCTAGTGGGTTAGGTGTGGTGTACACTTATCAAATCTAGCACTAGGTAGCTCCGAAGTAGCCCTAAGATCAATTGGAGAAAACTTCATTCACATATGATTTCGAGTTGGAAGTGAATGGAGGGTCAAATGTTGACCGGACACTGGTTCCGGTGTGACCGGACGCTGGCAGTAGGGTCCGGAGTTCATTTGATCAAGCTGAAGTCGTCTGGATGCGACCGGACGCTGAGTGAAAAGTGACCGGACGCTGGGTGCCAGAGTTCGGTCAACTCCAGAGAGGTTCCAGAGAGAGAGATTCCTGATCGGACGCGTCCAGTCAGTGCTGACCGGACGCTGGTCAGGATCCGGTTACTAACCGGACGCTGAACAGCGAAGTGACCGGACGCTGGGTGCCAGAGTCCGGTCAACATCAGTAAGGTTCCAGAGAGCTGTTTTTGTGACCAGACACGTCCGGTCAGTGCTGACCGGACGCTGGTCAGAGTCCGGTCACAACTCAACAGCTCGTTAGCGAGGATAACTGACCGGAGCGTTCGGTCACCTTGATCGGAGCGTCCAGTCACCCCGCAGAGTGCTGACTCAAGCACATAACGGTTCGTTTTGAATGAGGGGGTATAAATACTTCCTCTATTCATTCAAGGGAGTACTCTTGCCTATTTCAACAGCTAAGAAACACCCTTGAGAGTGCCAGGGAGAGCAAGAGCCTAGTGAGGTGATTGAGATTTGAGAATCCAAGATTAAGGCCTCATTAATTTAAAAAGAGTAGCAAGTGTGCATCCACCCTTCTCATTAGGCTTGTTGTGGTCAAGTGAGAGTTTTTGCTTGTTACTCTTGGTGATCGCCATCACCTAGACGGCTTGGTGGTGATTGGGAGTTTGGTGATCATTAGGCGGAGCTTATAAATGACCCACCTCAAGTTGTGAGCGGTTGTGGGTGATTCACCACGACGGAGTGTCGAAGAATCAACCCATAGAGAGCACTTGATCTTTGCGCGGATCAAGGGGGAGCTACACCCTTACGCGGGTACTCCAACGAGGACTAGTGGGGAGTGGCGACTCTCCGATACCTCGGCAAAATATCACCGCGTTCCTTCTCCTCTCTTTACTTTAAACATTTACATTTGAGCAATTCAATTCTTGTCTTTACATTCTTAGAATTGCCATGCTAGAGTAGGATTGGAAGCTAGGGTGCAAAACTTTTATATGGTAGATCAATAGGAACACATTCTAGGCACAAATGGTGAAGTGGGCTAAGCGTAGGGTTTAATTATTGTAAAGAATTTTAGAATTAGCCCAATTCACCCCCTCTCTTGAGCATCTTGATCCTTTCAATTGGTATCGGAGCCTCGTGCTCACGAATTTAGGCTTAACCGCCTAGAGAAAGATGTGCCACGGGGATAAAACTCCTCCTATCTTTGAGGGAGATGATTTTCCTTATTGGAAAATCCGCATGGAGGCTTATTTAGAAGCTCTAGATGTTAGAATTCTTAGAGCCGCCTCTCAAGGTTTCCCAAAACCTAGGGATCCCACGCACCTTCAAGGCGATGAAGTCAATTATGAGAAATGGAATGCAAAGGCTAGAAACACCATCTTTAGAGGCCTTTGCAAAGATGTGTTTAACTGTGTGCGGAACCACAAGGACGTCCATGCACTATGGTCGGACATTTGTGCGCTCCATGAGGGAACAAAGTGTAAGCGTGAGGAACGCTATCATCTTGTCATGAAAAAGCTAAATTCATTTGAGATGCTTCCTAAAGAAAGTGCTAATGAAATATACTCATGCTTAAATGTTCTTATAGAGGAAGTCAATGGGCTTGGACTTACACAAATACAACCATCTGATATTGTAAGAAAGATCTTGAGTGTCCTCCACATTGACAAATATGGACACATTGTGACTGTGCTTCATCAAGGTGATCTTTCCACCGCTACACCAACTCAAATCTTGGGAAAGATCAATGCACATGAGATGTATATGCACATCACACCACAAGATGGCTCTTCCTCTACTAAGAACAAAGACAAAGACTTGGCATTAAAGGCTAGCCAAGAGAAGGGTAAAGCAAGAGTTGAATATGAGAGCTCAAGTGATGATAAAATTGATGATGCAAGTCTTGCTCTTATGGTGAGAAGAACCACCAAGATACTA